TCAAAAAAAAAGAAAAAAAAAAAAAAAGGCCATATATAGGCTAAGACCCCAAAACCCCCTAGACAAGATAAAATCCGTAAATAATTATTCTTCTAATCCTAAAGAACTTAAAAGAAGGAAACCTAATAATAATAAGAATAAAAGCCATTAGATAATTAATTAAGCTTCGGCATCCAATCGTATTTGTCGCTCGTCTCCATCAATAGTTCAACAGTATTGTCCTATGGGTGTTTGTGTGATAACTTTATTTGTGGGTAGCTTTATTGATTTCATATAATATTCCTTTTGCTATTTGGTTATTTCAAGATTATGAGCTATAAGAAATATAATGGCAGGAGTTCAGATTGGTATTGAGTAGTTTGGTATAGGTTTGTGTTAGTATTGTCCTCCATTTCTTTTACATGTCAAGTTCTGACAACCATTGGGCAGTATTTTCTTTTTTAATGTGTATTTGTGTGATTACTTAATTTTTAGCTAGCATTTGAACGGGTTTTCCTAAATTTTCGATTGATCTTTCCCATAACATCCATTTTGTCATGTAGTCTTATGTAAAATTATGAGCTAAAAGAGATATAATGGTAGGAGTTTGGATTGGTACCAATATTTTGAGTTGTTTTTATATGTTTGTGTTAATGTCTTCGGTTGGTTGGTTTCTTAATATCTTAGGTTGGTTTGTTCGTAGCTGCATGATTTTGGTATCATGGGGTAATAATATCTGATGCATAAATTGTTCGAGAAGATATGTTTAGTGCATGAACATGTGTAAGTTTGTTAGTTTTTGCTGTATTGACTGACGATTCATACTCATTCCAGATTATGAAAAGAAGATAGCCGAATGCAAGCAAAAAGCAGCAGCTGCAGGTTCTGAAAGTGCCTCTGATGCAGAATTGGATTCTCTACAGAAGGAGCTAGACGAGGGACAACAACTAGAACACGTGCTTAACGAGGATCTTAGATAAGTATTGTGTTTATTGAAGGTTGTGCGTGTGTGTGTGTGTATTGTTTATGATGTGGATGAATATGCAAGCATATATTTCACGTTGACAGCATCCCTTAACAATTACTAATACGATAAACACAGGAATTGTCAACGAAATCAATGATCTAGAGAGGCAAATGATCTCTGGTGAAGAAGAAATACAAACCATCGAGAAACTTGAACAAGATGAGCTAAGAGCTCAGTAAGTCATGAAAATTTAAGGATCTTGCTTTTCTTTCAACGTACCGTTTGTTACGTTATTTGTTTGATGTCATTAACACTTGTACATAAATTATGTAGAATCAAGTTTAACAGGATACTTTTATTATCATCATCACTTGATAGTAGATAGCTGAAAGTGTACAATGGTTCGTTTATTTAAAAATTTTCTTTGACCTCTTGCTTCAATTACACGGTGCACCATTAACCACTTATTTATCCAGAATATTTTGCGCACATATAATTTGCTCGCTGTGCTCTATTAGAGGTCATCATATTTTAGATCCAACGCGTGAATACCACTTACCTTTACGGTCCTATTGTTATCCCTTTGGACCCTTTCCCTGATGATCTTTTTAACAAAATTGGCACAATGTGCGGATTTTTGTGCAATCTGATGGAAGGAGTTACTACATACTACATCTATATGAAGCACATATATATATAATGTTCTTTTCTTTTAGGCTCATGCAATTCTTTCTTGTTCTGCAGGATGAAGCTTTCAATGTATGCTTCTGTCACAAATATAATTCCTTACTTCAACAACCTATCGAAAATATGTGGCTGTATCCTTCGTTGCATGAATTTCTTAACTTTTAGTATATTTATGTTTTACTTGATCTTATCATTTTGTAACTTTTAGTATATTTATGTTTTATTTGATCTCATCATTTGAATATTTTGACACGCCCATTTTAAATAAATCGCTCATTGGACCAGTTTAACTCTAACTCGCACGCTCTAGATATCGTGGCAAGAGATAAGAAAGTGGTCGAGAAGTTTGAGTTCGATCAGTCAGAGATCACTTCCTTCGACACATGCAATGACATTTGGAAGATGTTAGAGTTGTGACGAATGTTAAAGTTTCGAGCTACTTGTCTTGGCTCATGTGGTATATGGTGTTGATTTAGGAATTCCTGGTTTGTATATCGATTTGGAGCATGTAAACATAAATTTGCTCGGATTTGTTGTGGCTTATATATATGTCGGAGCATTGTGGTGGATGGAAAAACCTAATGAGGAAACGAATATTATTTATTTATTACTATTTACTTCATTTTCAAATTTGGAATTCCTGGTTGTTCCCTACATGCTTCGCAGGGACAGCAACAGGTACAAAAATTTAAGCAACCTCATTCGGGTACATCGTAAAAGACAGCACGATTAACACGTGATGTCTGAATTTCAAGTGGCCTCGACTATCAGAGCATTTTGCATCTTAACAAGACAAGAAATTATCGTCTCGTCCCAAATTCTGTTACTGCATCTTTCGTCCCCGCACGCCCCCTGACAAAAATTTAGCATTCACACCTGATTTCCCTTTTGTGGAAGGCTTGGTATATCCCAAGTGCTGCTTTGGTGAAGGTTCCCTCTGCACAAAGACAATATGAAAACAGAGAATATAAGTAAATAAATAAACAAAATATTTAAAAGATTAGAGCAACAAAGTGTGTATCATCAAACTGTACCTCAAAATGAAGGAATGTTGAAGTGGCAGTGTCATCCAGACAAAAATGGCTATTATGCTTCTCATCCTCTCTGGTCTTGTTTTTACGATTGCTCGACTTTTTACTTCCGGAAAACGAAGAACAATTGTCTTCGTTCATCTTTTGTCTGGGCCCTGATGATGCGTCTGAGAGCATGGATAGATTATCATCATTATCAACACCACCATACTTGTTCACAATATTGTGTGCTGATATATTTTCGTCGTAATTCGAATAAACGGAATCGGATAGTTGCGCCCAGTACGTAGTCCATCCCGATTCGCTTCCGCTACTGTAATCCGAAGTTGTGATATTGTTCATTTTTTTTTTATTTTATTTTATTTTTTTTGCCTATGGAAAATTGAAAAGGATTTCTCTGTATAGAGGAAGGTTTGTGAACAAGTGAGAGGAGTACCCTCCCTAATTGTTTCTTTCTATTTATAAGGCCAATAGGAGGAGTTAATTAATATTTTATATTTGGATTTTATTTTGAAAATTTAGATTCATTAAACTGTCGGTTAGTTAAAAATAAAATAAAAAAAATAAAAAAATAAATAAAAGGTGAGATGAGTCTATGTCAACAAGATTTTGTGTTCAAGCGAAAAAGAAAAGAAAAAAATAAATAAATAAAATCTCGGGTGGGATAAAAATGTAATAACTGTGGGTAACATAATGAGCCCTCTGTTTTTACTTTTTACTTTCATGTGGAAAAAGAGAGATGGTTAATCAAGCACATAGAAATAGTGAAAGAGTGAAAGAGCTAAATATATTTGTTTCTCTCTTTAGTGCAGGCTTTTCTTTTTTTCGAGTCATGTTGGCCTGATCTACTAACATAATGAACTACCGAAAGTATACAAGCCATTATTATGGTTTGAAAAAATAAAAAAAGTATACATGGCTATTATTATTGTTTGAAAAACAAAAATTATACGGTGGCGACATATTATTGTAGCTATTATTGGAACCGAGTAGGCATGGTCATGGATCGGCCTGGCCCGACCCGAAACAGCACAAACCGGCCCGTTGACCATGGGTTTACAACCTGCCAGTGGTTTTGACCAGTCCAATTAAGGTTCAATACTTTATAGTTTATACACTTTGAATCGACGAATTCAATCTCGAACTGGAACCGGAACCCGAAGGTTCGACCTTTTTTTTTTAAAAAAATATATATATTTCTTAATCATTTTTTTTTTATGAATCCGACTGCCAAGAACCAACAACTCAATGAACCGGCCAGGGCATATTTTTGGGCCGATTCAGGACCCTCGGCGCAGGACCAACGATTACAATCCGGAATCGATTTTTGCATGACTATAACCGAATTATCTGTTAACATATTTTGGTTCGAATTGTTAAAACTTAATCTCTTCTTGTTTATACATTTAAATAAGTCAAACCTAAATAGCTAATCGAACTTGTCAATCAAACCATTAGTCGAACACGTTTGAAATCAACTATGTAAGAGTTTTTTTTTTGTTTTTTTTTATTTTTGGTCTTGGAAATGAGGCCGAATTAATTATTGTAGGCGAATGCAACAAAAACCGAACGAAAATGTTTTACAAAATGTACAATGAGACAAACTCAATTAAATAGCCCGCATGAATAGTATGCGTCGAGTTTAATTATCCAACTCATTTGGTATTTGTCAAATCAACCCATTAGAATTAAAAAGGTAAGAGAGTGTTGAGTCACATTATAAACTCAATTGATAAAAAATTAGTAAGAGCATAATTGTCATTTGACAATAAAGAATTGTCTAATTTCCTCTTACTACGATTATCACTTATGCATCATTGTTGTTAGATAAATAAATTCGACCTGAATTTTGAGGTATTCAGCCCAAAATTAGATGGACTAAACAAAATTTTACATGAGACTATGTATAAAAATTTTAAAAATTAAACTTCGATTTTCTTTTTTTCTTTATTTTTCTTATGGACATGTTGCTGGAGTCCACCCTAGACGACGTTGGACAGCAATGAAGTGAATCAAAACGGGAAAAGAAAACCAACGAACGTGTTTTCCACGTGCATTAAATGTGATGCCAAATTACAAGCTGTGAATTCAAGTATCTGAGAGCATAATATGATAGCTGCACATTCATAGTTTAAGGAAATTAACAGAAGTTATAGTTATAATTTTTTTATAAGCTGAACTCCGTAATTTTTAATATAACAATTTATTTTTATTTTTTTTTGAACCAATATTTACTATGTAGCAGGCTAAAAGTGGTGTGCTGCCATTTATTTTTGGATTTTCTTTCATCTGAATTTAACTTCAAATCACATGGTTTATTTTGGTTATAGATAGATAGATATATCTTTTTTCTTTGCTTTTTAGTCTTTAATTTCTGCCTTTGTTCACCAATATGTATCATGAAATCCATCTTTGATGACTTAGAATAGTTATATAGTCAACTTTTGTCACATAACATAAAATTTTCTTGAATTGTTTTTATAGGGCTTAGGTAGTGAAAGGTGTCCGAAAGGAATTGATGTAACATTGGTTCTACGTTTCTTACATGGTATCAGAGTCAACACTATCAGGGACTGTGAGCCGGTTTTATCTAGATCTATTTGGGACCGTGCGATGACGTACCCGTCACCCAGTCCAGTTGGGCTTGGGCTACTCACAAGTGAGAGGGCGTGTTATAATATCACTTGTGAGTTGTCTTACATCGTTTATCTATCTATCTATACTATTATAAAAGAGCCAATGAATCTGTAAAAATATGATATGCCTACAATACCCTTACTTTTTCATATCTATAATGTCAAATTTATAATTTAATACTCATCTATACTAATATTTTTAATTATTAATTAATATAATAATGATTTAAATACCTAAGCAAAGAGGAAACTACATTCTAGCGACCAGACTCTCCACTTGCGTAACCTTT